CCACATAAATCCAAACAGCATGCTGAAGATTCAGCGGGGAGTGCCGTCCAAGCCTCCAGGGTGCACAGAAGAGAAGTCAGCAGACATGTCACTAAGATGTGGAATATATATAATGCATGAGATGCCAATGGAAGTACGGTTAATAAGAAACCTGAATAGAGGGAGGCAGGGAAGTACAGGGGATGAGAAAAATCCAATAACAGCAGTATGGCAGGTTGGAAAAATTTACATTTGGAAACATTAATACTCGTCTTTAAAGTGCAAGATTGGTGTGTGTCACCAAGACAACTTCTGTCTTCTACAATAGCCAGTGTGTTTGTGTTTTTCCATGTTTTAGGCATCTGCTTTACATTTTGCTGCCAGGAATTTACAGTACAACAGAAAGTGTCAGAGGCATGTAGCCACAGCAGCTCCACGGCTGTGCTATTTGACAGAACAGCCAGAGAGAGAGGACGTCTCCAGAGAGAAGCTACGCTGGATGTGTTTACCCACTGTAAGAGTCCAGATCTTAAGGGAGAAGCCTGGTGCAGACTCCCACAGTCAGAGGGGAAATGGGAAAGAGCGGTGATCAAATTTCGCTGTTTGAGAGGATGTCAGCGTGAAGAGCTTCAGACTAGATGCTTCTCTCTGTGATTGAGAATTTGGTTAAATTGACAATTTGTTGAAATGCACTCTTGAACTAACACAGTTTGAAGTGGAGTCATCAGCAATATCATCATTGACAAATACAGGATGGGATAAGGGACATAAAATGAGTTATTTACAGAGGCACAAGAAAGTAAGGGTTGGTGATTCAACATGGGTCCTAGTAACTGCGTGTGTGTCCTTGAGTAGGAGATGTGTATATGTGTGGGTAAATGTCAGGCTGGATACAGGAACCATATAAACACAGTACATTTTTAATTTACTTTAAACCTGCAATAATCTTTTTTTATAACAATAGATTAAAATGACTAAATGTTATTTGAAAGGCAGTCCCTTCAGGAAGTTGTGATTGCAACTTAACGCAAATTCAACCAATTCCCGATATATCGCATTACTGTGAGCAAGGTGATATATTAAGATTTAAAAA